GGCGAGATAAGAGATGGATTGAACTCACAGGATAGATGGAATCCGGTGTATGCGGTGTGTACGGTGCGCATTTACGCCCGCGGTTCGGATGAGGAGAGAATGGAGATGGCTGATACCGTGGAGCAGCTTGAGCCATCATTGTTTCTAAAATAAATGAGAGGAATGGCAGTGATCGAGACTCCGAAAGATCATCAAGCAAGGAGCGAGAGCGAATGGACGGGCTTAGGGCAGAGCCTAATAACAGACTGACATTTGTACTTGAACAAGTTGTCGATCCTTTGCGAAGGTAGAGAACGAGTGATGTGAAGTAAAGATGGAACTAGTGCTGGGCATCTCTAAAGATACTCAAAACGGACTAATACCATCGATAACCAGGCCAAACCTTAGCTTAAGCTTGGCTCTGAACCTTCAAGACCATAGCGAGGCACAACGGCGTCACTCGAGGTGAAGCAGGCACGACCAGGCCCATGAGGCCGATTCCAGATCCGGTATAGCGCAGCGCTAGACATGCCTAGGTAAGGTTTACCTAGTGTATGGAATTTCCGGGGTTCAAAAGCGGAAGTAGTATGAATGCTGCGATGTCATAGCTCCGTAGAATGGGCCCGGACTTGATGTATAGGAAAAGAGATGTGGTCAAACAGTGAAGACAATCAGTTCCTTTAATATGATATACTGTTCAAATCATGGTCTCTCCGCGTGCCCATATCCAAGTCCTCCAGGAAGGTACGACCGAGGAGTTGCTCTGGCAGGTAATCCTGTTGAACCTTGCCGTCGACGTAGTTTGGATTGTACTTGTACTCCGCACCGTAGCCCAGCTCCTTCATGAGCTTCGTCGGAGCATTCCTCAAATGAACAGGAATAGGCAAGCCCGCGATTCCTGGCTCGTTCAAGGCGGCAAAGACGTTATTCAAGCCACGGTATGCGCGAGTACTCTTTTTCGACAGCGCCATCGCCACAGTAGCGTGTGCCAAATTTATTCGTGCTTCCGGGAGTCCAATTTTCTCAACGGCTGAATGTGTGGATATAGCAAGCGACAACATAGTGTTGTCCGCCAGCCCAATGTCTTCGGAAGCGACAACGATCAGCCGTCGAGAGATATACAGGGGGTCTTCGCCCGACTGAATCATGCGACCAAGGTAGTAAAGCGCTGCATCTGGATCGCTTCCTCGGATAGACTTGTGAAAGGCGGAGATCGTATCGTAATGCTGATCTCCAGCACGGTCATACACGAGCGTCTTGGTCAGGGATCGTTTCAGATCCTCCTTGTCCATTCCAGGCCTTTTTGACAGATCCATGGCCAGCTCCAACAGATTCAACGAAGTGCGAGCATCTCCATCGGCGAATCTGGCAAGGTACTGAACCAGCTCTTCATCCACCAGTTCGGAGGGCGAATAGGTCGGGCCTTCAACCTGGAGAGCACGACGAAGGATCGAAGTGATGTCCTCGTCGGCAAGCTTCGCAAGAGTGAATGTCCGGCAACGTGAGAGCAGCGCATTTTGGACTTTGAAGGATGGATTTTCTGTTGTGGCACCGATGAGGGTGACCTGGCCGCTCTCCACCGGGCCCAAGAACACATCCTGTTGTGACTTGGAGAATCGGTGAATCTCATCACAGAAGATGATTGTTTTTCTCCCAGTGAGTGCCAGCTCACTACGAGCTTCGGCAAATATCTTCTTGCACTCTGCCACGCCGCTGCTGGTACTGTTGATTTCCACGAATCTGCTGCCCACCAGCGACGAAATGACTCGAGCGATTGTTGTTTTCCCTGTCCCTGCACTGCCCCACAATATCATACTCGGTACTCTGTCCTGTTCGATGAGCCCGCGCAGGACGCCGTTTGGTCCGACAAGGTCTTGGCCACAAACTTCCTCGAGCGTTTTAGGTCGCATGCGCTCGGCTAGAGGTGCCGCTTTGTGAAAGGAGTTGATCTTCGGACGTTTTGCTTGTGGCTTCTTTGAGTCACCGTTTGGTTGCTTTGGCCCATCCCCCTCCCGTCTAGATTCCGCTTCATCAGTAAATGATCGCTTGCCGTTGAGAGCGCGTGGGGTCGTTGTGGGACGCGACGGGGACTCCTTCGACATATTGGACTGGGCAGAAGCTTTGCGCGCGGACGGAGTTTGAAATATGCTTGGGACTGGTCCCTTCTGGGAGGATGACAACTCTCCTGGAGAGGACGAGGCTTCTTCCATGAAGCTCTGGCACCCCGAGTCGATGTGGTCGTTGATCTTTAATTGGGAGACAGATTGCTCGCATATTGGGCAGGAAACCATGATGACCGGAGAATGATCTGGTCATTCACTAGGTTACTCAAAGACTTCAAGGTGAGGTAAACGTAGCAATGATAACGTCCACCTGCGGGTACGACGCGTTCAACGCGTTAATTAGTAAGCAACAGGCCTTGGTGCCTGAAAATGGGCAAGCAACAAGTTCTAACTAACTAGTTAGTTACTACCTAGCTATATGAAGATATTCGATGTAAATATGTACTACATACATGTAAGTACATACAAGGCACGTACTACATGTATGTAATCCCCGAATGACCCGAAGAGATAACAAGTGCCGGCCGTCAGGGCCGAATACGGAGCACGCCATGGCGGGGAAATTCAACTTCTCCATATACTCTTATCTCTCTTCTTATTGTCTTAATACTCATGATTTCCCGCTCCTATCGACATATCCTTGCTCAATCACAGAATTGCACTTCTAAAAACCTCTTCTCCGCCCTTTCGATATTACCCCGACCTGGTTACAGCGCAAGAACGATGTCCGCTACAGCTTTGCGACCCGATCCATTTCGCCCCGCCAAGCGGGTGGCAGGACAGCGCCAGGATGTTTGGTATGCAGTTTCGAGAACCAAGTTGGGAAAGACATACTAAATGGGGACTGAAGGTCAATCGTCAACGAAGCCGCCGCAGCTTCGCCAGTTCAGCCGATTGTGAACATGGGCCAAGGGTTCTTGTGAGTCACGCCCGTTTCGAGGACCCCTAATTACTTCAAGTGATAAGAATTGACGTACAATATTTCTGCGCAGTGGCTATAACCCTCCCAAGTTTGCTCTTGACGCTGCGAAAGATGCGCTAGACCGAGTGGAATGCAACCAATACTCTCCGACGAAGGTAGAGAACGCCACCGAATCTATGCATGGTTACACAAGGGCTCATACAACATACCTAGGGCCGTCCTCGCCTCAAGCAGGCTATCGCGGATGCTTACTCGCCCTTCTTTGGCAAGAAGCTAAACCCCGAGACCGAGGTCTCGATCACAACCGGCGCAAATGAAGGTGAGGGATCGGTATAATTTACCTATAAATGGAAATTTGGCGCTGACAAGTGACCAAAAAAGGCATGCTTAGTGCCTTCATGGGCTTCATCGAGGATGGTGATGAGGTCATTATCTTCGAGCCCTTCTTTGACCAGTAAGGAACCCGATATTACGAGAGGAATTGAAGGCATACTAATTCAATCGGGATAGATATATTAGCAACATTGAGATGCCTGGCGGTACTATCCGCTATGTTCCCCTCCACCCACCCCAGGATGGTGCGACCAAGACATCTCCTGCATCGGAGTGGACTATTGACTTTGAGGAGCTCGAAAGGGCCATGAACCCCAAGACAAAGATGATTGTAAGCATGCGACGCCAAGGTTTCCATGATTAGTGAGGCTAATTGCAACAGGTCTTGAACTCACCGTAAGCAGCCTTGATTTACAGAGACGAACAAAGTCTCAACTAACTGTGTGTTCATAGGCACAACCCCGTTGGCAAGGTCTTCTCGCGCGAAGAGCTCGAGCGCATTGGTGAACTGTGTGTGAAATATAACCTTATCATCTTGTCTGATGAAGTCTACGACCGCCTCTTTTACGTTCCCTACACTAGAATCGCTACCTTGTCCCCAGAGCTGTACGAGCGCACTTTGACCGTGGGCTCCGCCGGAAAGGCTTTCTATGCTACTGGTTGGCGTGTTGGGTACCTCATCGGTCCTGAACATCTGATCAAGTACGTGGCCGGTGCACACACCCGTATCTGTTACAGCAGTGTGTCTCCTCTCCAGGAAGCCGCTGCTGTTGCTTTCGAGCAGGCAGAAAAAGAGGGATTCTGGGACGAGAGCCGAGCGGATATGAAGAGTAAAATTGAGCGGTTCTGCGAGGTCTTTGATGAGCTTGGTATCCCGGTACGTGATTGCTCTGACACTTAACTATCAACTTTACTCTACCATACATTGATTTTGCTGACATCGATCTCCAAAGTACTCTGATCCTGAGGGTGGATACTTTGTGCTTGCCAACATGGCCTCTGTAAAGCTGCCGGCTGACTATCCGTTCCCACCCCATGTTGCTAGCCGTCCTCGTGATTTCAAGCTCTGCTGGTTCCTCATCCAGGAGGTTGGCGTGGCTGCTATCCCTCCTACTGAATTCTACACTGATGCCAACGCCAACATTGCTGAGGATTATCTCCGCTTTGCGGTGTGCAAGAATGATGATGTTCTTGAGACTGCCAAGGAGCGCTTGAGAGGGCTGAAGAAGTATATCACCAAGTAAACAAAGGCATACAGGCCTTTGAATGAGAAAATACGAGATATCCATTCGTGTTACGATGCCAATAGAGAGTTGGATATAAATATGCAAGATATGTGCCACAGAAACCAATTTCCCATAAATCTTCTCTTACATGATTGGTCTACCAGTACAGATCTACTCATTTACAGCTACTTCTACGTAACTACAGCACCTGAGAATGAATCAGGCACAGGAGGACAAAGGCGCAGTAGGACAAAGGCACAACCACGCAACGGTCTTTGTTTCTAGAAACAAAGGAGGGGGGGATCAAATCCCCCTCCAAACCAACGTCGCCACCGAAAGCGTAATACAAAAATGGGCATCCTGGACCTGGGAGCATCCACCGACTGAACACTGATGATATCTCTCTCCAAACCAGCCACCCCAGGTCCAGGACCCCTATACAAAGAGGGCTAGGGAGGGGACGGCTCCCTACCCTGACTACGGAATCTCCAGCTCCATGGGGCCCGTTCCCGCCCCGTCCCAACCGACACCACGGCGGAATGTCCGCCGGTCCTTCACGAGGACCTCCGAGAATCCTCCACCACGCGTGCGAGCCACCACGTCGCTCACCGAAGGATGGGTGGCTCGGTGCGCCCTCAGAAGCCAATGGTTGGATTCTAAGGTTTCGCACACTCTCCGGAAGCCCAACCCCATACAGTGGTTACCTAACAACGTGGGGCGACGCTCGCTCGCGCAGGTCGAATCCTCGCAGTGGCGTCGGTTAGCACCGATCCACTCCGTCTCACAAGCATGCCGCAAACCAAGACGGCTCTGATCGATGGTGCCACCCATCTCGAGTCCCATCTGGTACCGCAGCATGCTGTCCATGTCCTTATCACTGGCCCACATGTTGTGGGCCCGCATCCAGTCCCGGACAAGCCGGTAAAGATAGTCCACAAGGGCTGGATGTTCAACCGCCGCTGGAAGGAAAGAAGAGTTAGCATATGATCTGAAAGGTAGGCAATAGTGAGGGTTGTATGATATCAAAAGTGCAAGGAAACTGAGAGTGAGATGAAGCTGAAAGAGTAAGGAAACTAAAAGTGATATGAAACTTACCGAAGAGACAAGCTGCAAGGCACCGGCGGAACCGGTCCTTCTCTTCGGCGTCCTCAAATCGCACAACGTGTGCAATTCGAGGTGAACATCGCAGCGCCAAGTGACTGGCTGGAGCGTCCGCAGCGCTCAGTAGGTCGTCCCACTCCGCGAACACGAAGTAGTCACCTCGGTCGCGGGCGGAACTGAACCACAACGCCTGACGATGGCGCTCAGGGTTGTCCCACTGGTGAAGGCTGGGAAGCATTGGTGGACCCACGAGATCGTCGTATGGAATCGAACCGGCCAAGTGCTGATCTAGGACTGGGAGCTTACTGCAATCCCCCCAGTGCGTCTTGGCATCCTCCCACAGGTGGTCCTTGCCGCAGTAGCGGACCAAGGAAAACGGTCCGCACTTAGGGCAAACAACGGAGCCCCCATCCCCCAAACCACAGATGACTTGGCAGTCTCCCTTCTGGCAAAGGATCCCAATCCTGCGCAAGTCCCACTTTGATTCAGGAGGTGGAGGCCCGATGTTGCCGAACTGCTTGCCTGTGGGAGTCGGTTCATCATCCTCGAACGACTCGGGTGGAGACGGAGAACGACCTTCCACTCCATCTCCCTGGGAGGAAGCACTAGAGACGGGGAACTCGGCGTCCGCATCGCGCGCTTGCTGACGCTTCATCAAGTTCTTGCGCCTCCGTCTCTGATGCTTCCTCTTGTTGTGTACACTCTTCTTGCCATGTTGGCTAGACTCAGCTGTAGTTTGGTCATCTGGAAAGACAGTCCCATCTAAACTGGGATCATCAGTCTCAGACCCAGCCGAGTCTGCGGTAGACAAGGAAGAAGAGGCACGGGAGGTCGATGGAGGGTCGGCCGTTTGGGACGAGAATGCGGTTTCCTGGCCCTTGAAAAGCCCTGTGATTTTTCGTTAGCATGTATCCAAAGCAAAACATATGTAAAATGTGATTGCATACCTAGACTGGCCACATCGAAAGACTCACTTCGACGCAAGACTGGCTCCTGCGTCTCGTGGCCGCCAAGGTACTCTTCAGGGTCTAAATAATAGTTAGCGGCTGTATTAACAATGATATAAAGAGTAAAAAACTTACCAGAAAGCCACACCCCGTCCCTGTTGTCCGAGACAGGGAACCAAAGTCCAGCCTCATCCACCCGCGGAATCAAGCGCAGCTCGTCCGGAATATTTGCTGGCTCGTTTTCTTCCGCTTGCACTGCCCGTACCCCATCGTCCTCGTCTATCTTCCATAAGGTGCTTCTAGGTGTGAAGAAAGGCGAGAGAGAGGATGAGGGGAGGGGAGTGTGGGGGGAGAGGTGGGATCGGGCTGTCTCGAATGATGGAGAAAATGGGTTAGTCGAGTCACTGGGGGTAATTGGGGCCCAGGAGGCATTGACTGTTTGTTGGCAAGCAACTGCCGCAAGTTGCTGCTCAGTCAGGGCATCCTGTCGAGCGATGTCATGCACTCCCGGAAGTAAGCCATCACGCTGGTGGTCACCACATTGATCGTCACAACGCTGCTCTGTCATATTGCGTGTGATGTGATCGGTAACGTGTTCTGCGTCCTTCTTTCCTGTATCTGAGCCAGATGAACTATGTGTGCGCTTTCCCTTCCCCTTGCCCTTGGACCTTTTGTTGCTCTTCCGGGTATCAATCGTGAGTGTCGAAACCCGCTTGGTCAACTCTTTCCGGACCGACTCATGATGAGCCAACTCTTCTCTGGTTGACTCTCCCTCTTGCTCTGTCAACCCATTCTGTGTCAACTCTTCTCGGGGCAACTCTTCCTCGGTCAACTCTTTGGTCAACTCTTGACTTCCCACTGTCTCTATCGTATGTTCTTTCCCTAACACTGACTGCACTGGAATTGGCACAGCTGACGCATCAGACTTTTCGTCCTCAGAGCTTCCTTCTTCAGCCGCGGAAGATTCACGGGCTCTCTTTGATAGTCTCTTTGATGCCTTCTTTCCTTTGTTCTTCTTCTTCTTCTTGGAAGAGGAAGGGAAATTGTCATCGACAAGCAACTTCCCAAACAGTCCATTGTCTAGGCCGCCAGTCTCTGACACCAGCCATTGAATGCGCAGCCAAATCCGGACCGGAAGTGCCATCCATTTGCCGTAAGTGTTCTGTGATATGTTAGTTAGATCCCAAGACGATTTGTGAAGTCTGTATACTGACAGGGTCATCTTTAGAGATCTTCCGGTAGAACTCGTCACGCTGGTCAACAGTGACCATCATCTGCTCCCCGGGGCTGGCATTCCTGCCACTCACAAACTTGAACTTCACCGTTGGCGATTTTTCCTTCGCCTTCATCCAGCTTACCCGGCAGCCGGATGATTCCCATGGGGCAGTCCATTTCATGTAGTAGCTGTGCCTCTTGGGGTTCTTTGCCTCCCGATGAGCCGGTGCGGGACCAGTCTCGACGTTGCTCATGGCAATCTTCCTTGGAGACGTGAAGAGAGCTTCAATCGATCTCATGATCCCCAGCATGCCCTCTGGGTAATCGACAGGGATCTTGAAGTCAATGCGCACAAGCTCAGGACTTTCAATTGCGGCATCAAGGTCGCACTTGGGGTTACCCTTCGGGTTGTTCTCCATGGCGAATGTCGGGGCACGTGTCCGCCAGTCCTGAATCTTCAGCCTCAGCTGCCCATTGTCCAGAGTGAGCCCAGCCCGTTTATCGGTCCAATCCTCTGACTCGGACTGAGTCATGCCGATGTCTTCCCTTGGGGATCTTCTTACCTCGGGCAGCCCCGCATCGGCTCTGATTGACCCAGGATTGAGCAGCTCTGGAACGCGGCCTTCGATTGTGGCGTGGTGCTTTATGGCTTCGAGCTGAGCATGTCTGAGGCATTGGTGGGTCTCCACCTCTTTTACATGTGGCTTGAGCTGCTCCATCTTAGCTTGGCTCAGTTGATGCTCATCGGAGCTGGGCAGCTGGGTGTGCACTTCCGACTTTTCGTCGTGTCCCTGTGCAGATGCAGGTTGGGGCTCGTGGGAGGGAATCTCGCCATCGGCAAACTCGCTGAAGACAGTAGGCATTTCGTCTGATGGTGAGGACGAACTGTTGACTTGATCTCGTCAGTCAGTGGCTCTATTAAGTTGTGCTTTCCTTTGGATTGGAAGACATACCGACTGGAAATAAGGATAAGGTATTTGATTTTCTCTGTCGGGTATTGGAATTAAACTGACTGTGCATTAGCTGAGGTCCATCGATATCCAATACCACGGTTAACAAGAAGACTCACTCGATGACCTGCAGAAGCCTACAGCAGTCTCCTGCTGCTCACTGGGTTCTCGGTCGGCACAGGGATCCCTTCGGTCCAAGGTGTTTTGGTCTCATGCAAGAGACTGTATGGACTGTCTCAACCATACATCAGTTGGCAGGACGATGGGTGATAAGGCTTCAAAACAAACGGCTTACCAAGGTCGTCCTCTGCACTAGAGGTTGTGAGATATGGTTTTACACGAAAGATTGTGGATCCTGCTTTAAGCATGCAGGTCCCTCAGACAAGGTTTGTGGGTGTTGGTGCTGCGTATGACTTACCAAGATCGTCCCCAGCAGTAGAGCTGCGAGAGTGGTCGAACAAGAAAAATTGTGGATGCTGTTGCACCATCAGCCAAGGTCCATGTGTTTTGGTGGTGCATGAGGATACGTGATGAATTACTCTGTGTGCACACTGCCCCGACCATGCATCAGTCGACAGGATGATGAAAGGTACGGCTTCACAAGAAATGACTTACCAAGATTGGTCTTCTTCAAGAGTCCTCTAGAGTGAAAGGCGATAAGCTTTGGTCTCACAGAGGCTGTGTGTACTGTTCCGACCATGCATCAGTTGACAGAACGACGAGGGACACAGCTTCACGACAAGAGACTGCCCAAGATTGGTTCTCAAACCATTGAAAGGCTCTGAGACTTGGTCTCACAAGAAAAAAATGTGGATGCTGCTTTCACAATGGAAGGCCCTCAATAATCAGGGTTCGTGGTTGTTGGTGGTGACCCAACGCGTGAGGATGTGCGACAACTTACTGTGTGAAGTCTGGCTCATCCGTCTATGGCATGCACCATGAGGCAAAGCAGGCTTTTTCTCTTTGAGACAATGGCTTTGTAACTCAACGAGATCAAAGGAGGAACATGCATGAGCCAAAACTATGGGCGTGCGTGTTGTGGGTGCTATTTTAATCATGCACCATCAGCCAAGGTCCATGGGTGTTGGTGGAGACCGATGCGTGAGTATGTGCGACAACTTACTGTATGAAGCCTGTCTCATGCGTCCATGAAAGCAAGCTTTGTCTCTTTGCAACAATAGCTTTGCAACTCGAAGAGATCAAGGAGATGGGGAGAACGTACCAACAAGATCAGAGGGTCTGCGTGGGAGAGAGATTTGAAAGAAAGGAAATTCGGGCGACTTGAAGAGGGAGAGACAAGCTTCGAGACAACGGATGAGAAAAACAAACTATGCACGTGCTACTGTCACAGAGTCTTTGATTAGAATTTGCTGACCAGACTCTCCCGGCAATTGTTTTGTTGAGGCTGGTCAAACAAATCGATTGAGGAATCGATGTACGAAATAGCTTCGGTGATATTTATGGTTCTCATCAAGCTGCGGTTCAGCGGCTCAGGAAGAGATTCTTAAGGCTTGTCTGGGCCGGAATATTCCGTGGGTTTCCGTCCCCAAAGGACGAATACGTGATACGGGTTCGCCGTATTGAGCAAATGCCATGACCTGACGGTGCAATTGAAAGATGAATACGATACGACTTGCTTGTCACTTCCTTGCAAGTATCCGGAACTTCACACGATGCTGATATCATATTACCTCCCCATTTGAGCTACACCTAAAAGCAGGTGTAGTCTCCGCGATATTTGTTCAGCAGACTGCTCAACACTCGATAATCAAAGACGAAGCCAGAGAATCGACATGAAGGCTCGGAGGCTGCGTGAACAGGAATGACCTTGCCGACACTGCCCACAGACCTGTTCTTGTGCTGGCTTTGATGTATTTTAGCTACAGATTCAGAAGTTTAATCTACGTCTTGGAGGCCATTATTGCTTTATGCCAATCTTTCTTTGCGTAAGAGAAGTTTCAAAAAACACAACTGAAGCATGCACCTTAAGAGATCGCAAAATGTACCTCAGAAAGATCAGTAGAGCAGTTATACATTTGTAAAATATTATAAATTAACGCAGCACAAGAAGCCAATTGCAAATCCTGGAGTCTCCTTGTCATAGAATTCATGGCGTGTCGTTGCAAGTTGTTAGGGTGCGAGTTCGTCACGTGCCGTCACGTTGTCTACGAACTCGGTGAATGTCACGTGACGAGCTTCTTTCAACGCCAGCGACCACAACTCGAATAAGCATCAAGTACTCTTTTCAAACACCCTGCCCATTAATGGAATTATTAAATAACCTATAACCGTGATGGAATATATTGTAATATCATTATTTATCTTTCTATCACCAGAAGTCGTACGTGTGGAAGTTCTGCTCTGCACTCGAGTGAGCGACTCGGTGAATCGAATCACACGAAATCACCGAGTTAGGCGGCAACAGCCAAAACAAAGACTAACCCCCAAGGGAATGTCAAACAACATACGTATCGTCTACCCGCATGACAAGGGACCAAAATATCTGTACAAGCATGGTGTTAGATCAACCGGCCCTTGCTGACCGGCTATTGGCTCTCATTCGCGGGCGGCTAAGCGCCCATGGTGGCTATATTTGGCTGTTTTTCCACTCCGGCGCTTTTGACACTCAAAGTAGCCAGTGAGACGCTTTGATTCCTCATGAAACAAACTATTGCACAGGCTCCTTGTCTTCAGTCTTTATTTTTATATTTCCTTTGTTTCGAAATGGTTATGGTTCGCTCTGATTGGGGCTGTCTCGACTTACGGGGTTGCCAAGGTCCATTGAACTGCTTCTTTATGAGCGACATTGGGCTATTGCAATGTCTGCTGCCGCCCAGGACGTCTGACAATTTCCAGGTGACCTTTGCTGACTGCTATATTTGAAGATTCATTGTCCCTTTTGTTTTGATTCTATTGTCTCATCTATTCATCTATTGACCTCCCCATTCATTCAACATCTATAAGAAATCATATATACCATGTCCCTGCACTAGTCCGGCTCTTTCCCTTTGCTTTCTTTATCTTCTTTTAAGAACTCTCCGTTTTGATGCAGGCTTTGCATATTTTCCCTTGATTTAATTACGCCTCCAACCATTCCTGGTCTTCGCTGGACGAGATCACACCTGAACCATCTGACAATTATCACTCTCGAGAAAAAAATACACTACAATGGTATTCTCCCGATCTGGGCGGTCGGTCTTTCCACTGCTCCCGCCCTATGGAGCTCAGGATTCAAGCACGGGGCGGATAATTCCTCTACATCCAGATGGCCTCACTCCCTATCTCGGTCTGCGAGCTCGACTTTCACAAGTATGGATCAATCGATGGACGATACTTTTACTGCTTATTCTCTTCCGAGTATTGATTGCGGTGGGCGACTTGCAGTCCAACATGGCATCCGCCAAGCGTGAGGCGCTCTCTGCATGCACGTCAGTGGAATCCATGGGTAGCGCGATGGCTTCTATGCCATACTACCTATCCAAGGGTACCAATGAGCTTGTGGCTTCTTCAGTTGATGAGGCCGTTTCTGCCCTGAAGTCCGTTTTGCTGTTGACTATCACGGGCGTCGGGGAGATCCTCTGGTTTGTCATTAATATGATGTACTCCACCTACGCCTGTCTCATTACAATGGCCGTTCGCGGTACAGTAGGAGCCGGTATCGAATTGGTCAAGGAAGCTACGGAGTGGATCAACAAAACCCTCAAGACAATCAGTGGCGAGATTGAGAGTACGGTCGACGAATACAAAGACGAACTAAACTCATTTCTCGAGACCATCAATAAAGTGGCCAGCGTGTTCTCGGACGATCCTAGCCCAATAAACCTCAACAGCTCAATCAGTGACCTGGAGAATCTGTCTCTTCCGTCGTCAGTCAACCGCACGGTCGAAAAATTGGACAACGTCGTCCTTCCCAACTTCAAAGAAATCCAGAATTACACCAAAACACTCTTCCAAACGCCTTTTCGAGAAGTCAAGGATTTGGTCAACGAGACTTTGGGCACTTACAGCTTCGATCGGTCCGCTCTCCCGGTCCCTGCCAAGAAACAGTTGGCCTTCTGCAACGACAACAAAGGCATCAATGATTTCTTCAACGGGGTGACCGAGTTAGCACTAAAGGCACGCAAAATATTCATTGCTGTCCTCGTCGTTGCTGCCATACTAGTGTGCGTTCCAATCGCGTGGCAAGAAATCCGCCGATGGCGCTCAATGAAAGAGCGCTCCCAGTTGGTTCGCAAGGAAGCCCATGATCCAATGGATGTTGTGTACATTGTCTCACGTCCATATACCGCGGCTGCGGGTATCAAGGCAGCAAGTCACTTTAGCAACAGTCGCCGGCAGATCCTCGTGCGATGGGCCATTGCCTATGCAACGTCCATCCCTGCTCTTTTCGTGCTGGCTCTTGGACTGGCAGCACTATTCTCCTGTCTGTGCCAATATCTGCTCCTGCACTCGGTGAAGCAAACAATCCCAGCACTGAGTGCCGAGGTGGGAGAATTCGCAGACAAGGTCGTTGACTCACTAGAAAGTGCCTCGACAGAATGGGCTACCGACGCCAACAAGGCCATCATTAATCTCGACGCCGACCTAAATCACAATGTCTTCGGCTGGGTCAACAGCAGCACACAAGCCATAAACGGGACTCTAAACTTCTTCATCTACAACACATCCAGCGTTCTAAACGAGACCTTCAAAGGTACCCTGCTGCAAGAGCCCGTCTACGAGTTATACGAGTGCCTCATCGGCCTCAAAGCAGAGGCACTCCAAAAGGGTCTGAACTGGGTAGCTGAGCACGCACATATCTCGCTTCCCACCCTCCCGAACGACACATTCTCCGCCGGTGCCTCCTCCAGCATCAACGACAGCTCCAATCCCTCGGATAGTTTTCTCGCCGATGCAGGCGACCAAACAGCAAATAAAATAACCGAGGTCGTAATTACCGTGATCAACAAGCTCGAAGCAGCCGTGCGTATGGAAGCCATTATCGCCACCGTCATTCTCCTGCTTTGGGTGTTCATCGCCTTGATTGGTATCACTCGCGCCATGATGCTCTTCTGGAGTCGTGACAAGCACCGCGGCGAAGGGGGTCAGGGTCATATCCTGGATCCTGTGCCCAATCGTGGACCACCATCCCAAGATCCGAATGGTTTTACTGAAGTTCCGCTCACTGCTATTCCGAGGAATATGCCCGGAGATGGGCACAGTGCTCCTCAGTACACGGCGGCGACGGCAACCTCCGCGCCTTTGCGGAATGAGCCGTCGTCACATTGTGATGAGAAGGTTGGTTTCGCAGGGCAAAGGAATTATGAACATGCATTGCAGTTGGACTTGGATCCTGATCTGAGGGGAAGTAGCTACGTCGAATATGATGTGAAGCGATGACAGGAGATGAGTACGTATTCCTGTCTTTGATCTTCGCTCTTCTGCAGGGAACTTGTGCTCTCTATTCTCCCGCTCTCTTTGTGCCATTTCCAGCATTCCATCGTACTTGCCCTGGCCGTTTGTTTCTATACGGGGCTGGCGTTCTGTCATAATAATTTCAATAAGAGAGCATTTCTAGTTTAGATCAAGAATGCCACTTGATTTCAAAATCATAATTTCCCATCTGCGAGTCGTGTTGAACATCATCCTAGAATTACACCCCATATAACAATCTTACGAGATCGGTATAGACATCCATGGACAGAACATATTTCAATTTAATCGTCTTACATACTATACTAAAAAAAACTTAATGGCATAATGTCATACAAATCGTCGGCTGTAAATTCATAGCCGCTATATGGCGACAAAGAAGCTCTTCTCCCCCTCCTTCGGTTGCACTCTCACCCGTTCAATAATCGGGTCAGCACAGCTAATCCGAATACGCTCAGGGGTAGCAGGTGATTCCAAAGAGAGCACGTTGTTCACGTTCCACTGCTTACGTGCAGCCTTCAGCGCGTCACGAATGGCAAAGAAGACTGCACTACCCATAAACAAGGGCGGCTCGCCGACTCCACGGGAGCGTTGAATGGTACGCAAGTTTTCCCACTCCACATCCTTAAGCAAACTCACATTGAAAATCTGCGGTATATCACGGAAGCCAGGAATTTTGTAGTTGCCCGGGCCTCTCGTGAATATCTGACCAGAGGCACGATGCCAGAGACTCTCTTCGGTAGTGAAGAGACCTTGTCCTTGCACAAAGGCGCCTTCTATCTGGCCGTAGTCCACTGAGGGGTTGATACTGTGACCCACATCCATCTTCACGTCGGCACGTAGAGGCGTCCAATCACCTGTCAGCGTGTCGATCTGCACTTCGGCTGCGGTGACACCCTGTGTGAAGTAGAAGAACATCTGGCCGCTGTTCTCGCCCCATACGTAGCCGATATCCGGGGTACGGTAGTATCCTTGCGCGGAGAGGTTGACACGGGCGAAGTAAGCCGCGTGGGCAAGTTCTTTCATGGTTGCATTGGGCATCTTCTCGCGGAAAGGACGCAGACGTTCGTTGATCTGTTCACACGCATTGAATATGGCGTAGCCATTGAGATCGGAGCTGGCTGAAGCAGCGGTTGCGGAGGTATTGGCCACTGTATTAGTCGCTGTCTCAGAAATGAAGACGCTCGCCTGCGGCACTTGCAATGCTTCGGCGGCGATCATGGTCATCTTTGTGTGGAGGCCTTGTCCCATTTCAACACCACCGTGTGCTACGAGGACACTGCCGTCGTGATAGATGTGAACCAAAGCCCCTGCTTGGTTCAAGAACAGAGCTGTGAAGGAGATACCGAACTTGGTTGGCACAATCGCCATTCCACGTTTGGACCACTTGTGCTGCGCATTGTACTCCTCAACAGCCTTCCGACGCTCCTTGTAAGAGCTCTCCTCTAGCACTTGCTTGTACATCAACGGCACATACCAATCTTTGAGAGGCTGGTTGAAATGCGTCGTATCATCTGGCTTGTACATATTGATGGCCCGGATCTCTTCGGCCGGAATATCCAGATGATCTGCAATCTCCGATATATAACACTCAGCGAAGAACAGGCCTTGCGGACCGCCAAAGCCACGGAAAGCTGTGTTTGACACAGTATTAGTTTTGCAGATCCGGCCGCGCACATTGACATTCGGTATTTTATACACGCCATCAATGTGCGACAAACTTCGCTCCACAATGGCACCTGATAGATCTTGTGTGTGGCCTCCATTGGCATACACATCTGCATCAAGCGCAAGGAGTTTTCCTTCTTTGGTCACACCAACTTTCCATCGGCAGAGGAACGGGTGACGTTGACCGGAAGTCAATATATCTTCATCACGATTGAGCATACACCGCACCGGTCGTCTTGTTTTCGCAGCGGCAGTGGCACAAAGACCAGCCAGCTGGACAGATCGCGACTCCTTGCCACCAAAGCCACCACCAAGTCGCTTCACGCGCGATACAATTTTGTTCGCAGATACTCCTGTCACCTGAGCGACATAGGCTTGTCTGTGAACGATTAGGTTAAATTCCGTGATGAGAAATAGGCAAATATATCGTTACTCACGTTTCGGTAGGGTTCTGGGTGCCACTCCAAATCTCCATTTCACCATCCTCCGGCTTTGGAATTGCCACACAGGCTTGGGTTTCCAGGTAGAAGTGCTCCTGGCCACCCATTCGCGAGACCCCGGTAAAGACGTGGTCAGCTTGTTTGAAAGCTTCCTCGGTATCACCATTCTTGATGTAGCGATAGTGCTCAAAGTAAGACTCCGCCTCAATGGCCTCCTCAATCGTAAGGATGCTCGGGAGGTCTTCATATTCGACCTTGATAGCCCTCATACCTTCCTCGGCAATTTTAGCGCTAGTCGCCAGAATCACACCAATCGGCTGACCAGCAGTAGTAACTTCATCAACGGCAAAGAAAAGCTCATCGGACTTGGGCTGCCCCCACCAGTTTGCTTGAGGGTTAGGGAGATCTGTGTGGTCCACGTAGTCCACAACGCCCGGAATATCCAATGCAGCGGACGTTTCAACGCTGAGGATCTTGGCATGAGGCTTAGTAGACAGAAGCATGCAGGCGAATAACTCATTCTGTTGCACAGGAATATCGTCTGTGTATTGAGCCTCTCCTGTGGACTGCTTCAAGGCCGCAACATGCGGAGTCGCTCGTCCAAGAATCTTCTGTTGATAGGCGACGGAGGTCTCAAGATCTTTTGCTCCAGTAGAAATTGCTCTCTCAATCTCAGCAACAACATCTGGATCTAAATCCGAAGCCTTGACATCGAGCCCTGAAAGTACATCGTAATAGAATCTGTAGAAGAAGCCCAGAGCCAAAGACTTCCGGTAACTAGCCATACCACCAGGAACTCCAAACGGCAGGTTGAAATCCTGCTCCAGTGCGCTCATGACGCCTTCTAGCGTGATGGGGTTTGTGAACTTCTTGCCAACCAAAAACGCCTCTGCATTCTTCGCTGAGACGGTCATGGCGGCCATGCCACCAAACACAAGATTGGCACTGACCACATCATTGGTCTCAGAAAGAGTCACGCGTAACGCGGAATTGACGATGGCAATATCATCGTCCTTCCGCTTGGCCTGTTTGTAGGCTCGCATGTGCTCTCCCTGCGCTTTCGCGGCTGGAATGCGCAAGCTAGCGATGACTGCGTTGGGAGCGAGGGCAGTCTTTCTGTATCCTTGGAAGAATTCAGTCATTGGAATTTCAGTCTCGCCTTCGAGGGACTTGGCCACGAGAATAGTGTTCGTAGCTACCAAAACCGGGTTAAGATCAGAGATGGGCGATGCAGTGGCCAGGTTACCTGCTGGGGAAGCGACATTTCGGATCTGTCGCCCAGCGAAATAGAGCAACTGCTTCTTGATCGCTTTGAAAGGTTGGCCTCTGGCATCGCCATATTTCTGTACCGCTTGGTCACAGATGTGTTCGAGGTCCGTCAATGACACATTTGCACCGATCTCCAAACAATCGTCGTGCAAGGTAAATTGTCGCAATTCGGGGATATCTCCCAGGTAAACAGAGGCCGCATATCGCATCGCCTTAAACTTAATCTCAATCTGCGTCTCCGTGCTTCCACCAATTAGTTTAGCGTCTGGGTGGACGTTCTTAATTTGCAACAGTTGCTCAACGGTTACTGGTCGGTACCATTTCTTCTTCTTGTTGCCATATGCTAAGGGTCGGTATTCGTGTTTCTGCAGGGCGGCAGGGAAGATCAACTCTGTGTCCGAACTGTACGGCTTGAAGTCCGGCGCGGGAAACTTGTAATCGACTGTATCTTTCTCTCCATTGTTGGCGGAAGACCCTTTACAGCCACCACCGGAGCCGTTTTTCTCCATGCAGCAGCCTGACCCACCATTGGCAGAGGCCTTTCCGCAGTTGTTGGTCGAGTTGAAGCTCTGAGCAGCATCTAGAATAGGTCGGTAACCCGTGCAGCGGCAAAGGTTTCCATCGAAGGCTTCTTCAACATCGTGCTCTGAGGGAGACGGGTTGTTTCGCAGCAAGGCATAAAGAGACTTGCAGCAATCAGTCAATTTCATATTCCCCCCAAAAAGGTGAATCAAGCAAAAGGGCCACATAGGCGTACCATGACTATTCCAGGAGTACAGAAACCACATTGACTTCCATTGCCGACCGCAATCCGCTGCTGAATGGCGTGGGGATCCTTCATATTCCCAATACCTTCGACTGTGATAACGTGCTTACCGTCAATGCTGACGAGCGGAGCAATACAGGCATTAACGGAGGCATGGTAGATTTTCTTCGTTGTAGGATTGATATGGGAGACGACCTATTAACCATATAGCCCTCTGGTTAGCACTAGGTGCATAACCCAATATAGTTGACTGAAACCCACCACAGTGCAAGCACCACAGCCTCCCTCAGCACATCCAAGCTTTGTGCCTGTTAATCCAACACCCCGCAGGTATTCGAGTAGAGTCACTTCCGGGTTGACCGTATCAAGCGCAACCTTGGTTCCGTTGAGATAGAACCGAATAGTGTCATCCCAGTCCTCAGTCAATGCAGACAGGCTGCTCGGCTTCTCAATCGCGACCGTAAAGTCCGTCTCTAGGATTCCCGGCGCCATGGTGGAGATATAGCGATTGTGGCGATAGTTAGAGGTAGGCTTTCACGGGCGACTTCAGGTGTGCATCTTAGTTTTATAGCGAGCGAGTTGCGGGCGAGGCGGGCGAGTTGGGAGGGCCCTTCCGCAACATCAATATATTACTAAAGCAAAGTCTTCGAAAGGTCAGTATCAAAGGAGGGGAAGTCCGATGAGATCAATCCCCAGAATTCGATATCAGGCCCACTTGGGGACTTTTCGTTATCTCTGCGGGGATCGCCACTGTCCGATGAGAGGTCGGATGACTATCGGGTTCGGTCTTGGCACCTCGGCCCAGTTGTTTTGCTGGAATTACTACTCCGTACTATGTCCACGATATAAGTCTTGATATCTGCAGTTGGTAAAATTTCTATATCTGTATTACCAAACCAAAAAGAAAAAAAAAAGAAAGTGTTACAATACATATATAAAAGAAATGGTCCGTAGATGGTAACCAGTAAATGCACGCTCACGGCCTCGAGCCTGCAAAAGGTTTCTCTTCCTCTTCCCATTTCTGGCGTTCAACGACGCTTCGGGCTCTGCAGAATAACTGAATTAACAAGAGTGTATGAGACCTTAGAGACAGGCAACGACTTACCGATAGGCCTTAACAAAACGCCAAACCTCTGTATCTGCAAGGTTCCAAGCCTCAACAACATCCTTGATGTTGATGCTATTTGTTTCCTTGGTCTTAATTACATCGCGGGCCTTTTGGATGAGTTCGTATTCTTTGCCGACCCCTTGCTCGCTTGGCGTGCGATCCTGCGCGCTCTTGGCGGAGTCTTTGTCGTTCTCGGTTGCAGGATCGATCTTACTCCCACGAGGGATCTTGAAGCCAAACTGCCATTCAAACTCGTCAAGGAGTTCCGAGGGGAGACTCTGGCCTGCCTGTGCAGGAAGAGATTCCACAGTCATCCACAGAGAAGTCCCGACAGCATCTTCGCCTGCGACAACCTGCTTGAAGATCACTCCCCGGTATGAAGAACCCAATTCAGGCCCAAGGTGCTCCTTGGTCACCTCAGATAACCATGCGTCGCGCTCGGTCTCCCGGCGGACTTGTGGTATAGTGATCTCCTCTGAGCTCTTCTGTAGGCTGATAAGAGTGTAGGGGTGAGGAAGGGTGCCAATGGTGAACAAGAACGTGGTGTTTTTATAGGTCGAAGGCTGGCTGATACGCATGGGCTGCTTTGCAGACCCGGTCCCGCATGGGCGGCATTCGGGTTCATTAGGTGGACAAGAGTCGGGAATGGGCGACTCAGGACACTGAATAAGAGCCTTTGCCAGCCGAAGGGCAGGTTCCACGAGCGCGGTAGTGTGCTGGGGGAACGGTTTCAGCACAGCCAGTCCGGCAGGGAAGGCGCTATGGAAGTGATTGTGCAGGTGAGAGTTGATCAGTTGGACAAGAGCCAGCTGACCACTCGCAAGGTTCTGGGTCATCTTTTCATGCACGGCAGAGTAGTGGGAGGTAATGGCCGCAGACTTATAAAACGCCAAAGCGTTCGGCGGCTCAACCTTGAACGATTCCGGTGCAATCAGATCAACAAAGGACTGGGTTTTATCATCGAGCTTCAGGACTGCGCTCTGAACGGCCGCATCGATCCGCGACTTGTCCGCCGCGTAGAGGCCATTCTTGAGGTTTTCGAATCGGGTAATTGATTCCGGGACACTCCCACGGCGAAGATAGGAGAGCATGGGATCATCATAACGCGCCATAGGGAAGCAGTGGAAGTCTGCCAGCAAGCCGGTGCCCATGTGCCCCCACGCAAGCCAGGCGAACACCTCGTTCTGTGTTTTGGGCGCGAGTTTCCACTTCTGGACAACTTCATAGTTGGGGTTTTTCATCGCATCGCCCGGAGTCAATACTACGGGCTTGAATCCTTGAGCAAACCATGCCCGACGCCATGCGAGAAGCAATTCCGCATCGGCATTCTGCACGTCCTTGAGGTCCTTGCCATTGGATTTGTTGGGGTTATATTTCGCGTCGTAGTACGTGTAGATCGGTCGACGTTCGCGAAGGGGAGGGAGGACGGAGCGATTCTCATCCAATGTGATGGCAGAGGAGAATGGGTTCAACCATTCAAGGGTGCTGTACCATTTCGACTCGCCGTGTGTGCTGTTGTCCTGTTCCTCGGGCTGCTCATGCGAGGGAGGGCGGAACGAGGGCAGGTGGAAGTTGCTTAATGAGGGTAGTTTTGGTGTGGGCACAAACTTGGCCGGGCCTGTGGCTGACTGCTCGCCGGTATCAGGGACCGGAGAGGACGAGAAAATGAAAAGCAAAAGCGCGACGAAAACAATTACAGACAGGAGGGCTGTACTCCTGTGAGGAATCATCTTTCCAACATTCAAACCAAAGGACCTGTACAGAGGCCCGTCAAAAACTGAAGAAACACGTGTGGCTTCAAACCACAACACTTCTCCTGAAACTCCGCCTCAAACGAGACCGGATTTGGCCAATGCAGTCTTGGCAAGAAAATGACGATAGGTATGAAGGCAACTCAACACACTTCTATCTGAATCTCCCGGGCTGAATTGATTTCGCTCTAGCATCCAACAATGATCTGAATACAAAATAAAACCCTTGATAATTGTCTTTCGACCTGGATGGGGATGTTGCTTCCTTACTTGCCTGAGATCGAAAAGCAAATGATGACTCAGCTAATCCACTGGAAATGACCTCATCGGATGAGTGACCCGTGAACCTCTAGAAGCTCTGGAGTATGAAGCCTCTTGGTTAACGACCAGGTATATGTTTAAAATACTCTAGTCTCTTTGAATAATTAAGGTAATTGGCACCTTTATTCCCCATATACATATTGTGTCGATTTACGAACAAATAGCAGTGGTTCAAGGACACTTCATATTGTATGTCTCCGTAGGTAGCTAACTTTTGACCTAGATCAATGGAGCTATCTGAAGACTTTATAAGGTGATATATATCTCAATGATGTTCCAAACGTTCCACATGTTCCACATTTTCTACTAAATTATACATACATATCTTGAAACTACGGGCATATGCTATGTTGTACATATATATTGATCTTCCATCTATATGCCATCTTCACCAAAATGAGACATCTGCAGTAGTTGGGTTTCTACTCTCGACGCCCCAAGAATGGCCATCTAGGGCCAGAATAATCTCAATATGCCAAAAACATTCAGTGGAGATATCAAACGAAGGAAAATAACTAGACCTCGTACAATGTCCAGTTCTGCCAATCTGCGCCGCTGTGGGCTGGAGAAATCGAAACTCCGACGCCACCCCACCATGTACAGTACAAGGCGGTGAATACTCTGTGGGGAAAGTAGCTACATATGTAATCAGCGCCTCAATTCTCATTGGCAGAAATGGCGGCGAGATCGGACTTTTCCACTATGGGGGGGTAATTTTAATATTGAGTCATCGTGTCTTTCATTCTCCAACTCTTTCGAACATACTGCAATTATGGCTGTAGGAACGGCCTCTTTGCAGGACCGCCTGGAGATATGGGCAGAAAGATTGAAGAACCTGACTGTCTCTCCATTGACTCGCGATTATCCCGATACACAAAAGACTGACAGCAAGAGAGTCATTGAAGCATTTGAGTCTCTTCAACTCCCCAAGGAGAAGCTTTCGGGCTCGTCATCCAGCTTTACCGCTATTTTGACTGCCTTCATTATCCTGGTAGCGCGATTGACTGGTGATGAGGACATAGCTGTGGGCACAAACTCCAACGAAGATGGCCGTGTATTCGTCATCCGGGTCCCCATTGATACATCGGAGTCTTTCACCCAGCTTTATGGCAAAGTAGATAAGGTATGTATTGCATGTTGTTGCTGTACGGTTTACTGCTAAGGGTCTTGCAGGCATATAAGGGGAGTTCTTCCCAAATCGTGCCCTTGGGCAGCCTTCGCTCATACATCCAAGAGAAGTCCAAGTCCGAACGCACCCCAGTCCTCTTCCGATTCGCCGCATATGATGCCCCTGCTTCCTCGCAAGATTACCCTGCAAACACCTTCGATACTACTGATTTGGTGGTTAACATTGCACCGGGTTCAGCTGGGGTCGAATTGGGCGCATACTACAACCAGCGCCTCTTCTCAAGTGCTCGTATTGCTTTCATTTTGAAGCAACTAGCCAGTATTGCTAGCAATGCTGCTGCCAATCCGGATGAGGCTATCGGACGTATCGACTTGATGACCGAAGATCAGCGCGCACTCTTGCCCGACCCAACATCCAACTTGAACTGGTCTAACTTCCGTGGTGCCATCCACGACATTTTTACTGCCAACGCGGAAAGCCACCCAGACAAGCTGTGTGTGGTTGAAACCCAGTCAAGCAGCTCCCCTCACCGCGAGTTCACCTATCGCCAAATCAATCAGGCCTCCAACATCCTCGGACATCATTTAGTACGGTCTGGCATTCAGCGGGGAGAGGTTGTCATGGTTTATGCCTACCGTGGTGTGGACCTGGTGGTTGCTGTCATGGGTATCCTGAAAGCTGGTGCGACTTTCTCCGTCATTGACCCTGCCTATCCTCCGGAACGTCAGAACATCTACCTTGATGTCGCCCGTCCCCGCGCTTTGGTGAACATTGCCAAGGCTACAAAAGATGCTGGTGAGCTTTCAGACATCGTGCGTACTTTCATTGACGAGAATCTGGAGCTCCGCACTGAAATTCCTGCGCTTGCCCTACTCGATGATGGAACTCTCGCCGGTGGGTCCATCAATGGTCAGGATGTCTTCGCCAACGAAGTCGCACTGAATTCCAAGCCTCCTGGTGTCGTCGTTGGTCCTGACTCTATTCCGACCCTGTCTTTCACGTCCGGCTCGGAAGGCCGGCCGAAGGGCGTTCGTGGCCGACACTTTTCTCTGGCATATTATTTCCCTTGGATGTCTGAGAAATTCAAGCTCACCCCAGACGAGAAGTTTACTATGCTGAGTGGCATCGCTCACGATCCTATTCAGAGAGACATTTTCACACCGTTGTTCTTGGGTGCTCAACTCTTGGTGCCCGCTCGTGAGGACATCCAAAACGAAAAGCTTGCCGAATGGATGCAGAAGTACGGCGCCACCATCACTCACCTTACGCCTGCTATGGGTCAAATCCTTGTCGGTGGTGCCTCTGCTCAGTTCCCTGCTCTTCACCACGCATTCTTTGTGGGTGATATTCTTATTAAGCGAGACTGCCGCTCACTCCAGGGACTTGCGCCCAATGTCAGCATTGTGAACATGTACGGAACAACCGAGACCCAACGCGCTGTCAGCTACTATGAAATCCCTAGCTACGCCAGCAACGAGGGCTACCTGAACAATATGAAAGATGTGATTATGGCTGGTCGCGGAATGTTGGATGTGCAGATGCTGGTTGTCAACCGCTATGACCCCACTCGTCTCTGTGCTATTGGAGAGGTCGGCGAGATCTATGTTCGTGCGGGCGGTCTTGCAGAGGGCTACCTTGGTTCCCCGGAACTGAGTGCGAAGAAGTTCCTTAACAACTGGTTTGTTAAGCCCGAGGCCTGGGCGGAAAAAGATCAAGCCGAATCCAAGAGCGAGCCCTGGCGCCAATTCTACGTTGGTCCGCGTGATCGCCTTTATCGCAGTGGCGACTTAGGCCGTTACACACCATCTGGAGATGTTGAATGCTCTGGCCGCGCCGACGACCAAGTGAAGATTCGTGGTTTCCGTATTGAGCTTGGAGAGATCGACACCCATCTTTCCCAGCACCCTCTTGTTCGTGAGAACGTGACCTTGGTGCGAAGAGATAAAGACGAGGAACCCACGCTGGTCAGCTACTTTGTACCCGATATGAGCAAGTGGGAGTCATGGTTGGGGAGCAAGGGCCTTAAGGATTCTGACTCTGATCCTGAGGGTATGGTCGGTCTGTTGCGACGCTTCCGTCCTCTCCGTGATGATGCTCGTGAGCATCTCCGGAGTAAGCTCCCTACATACGCAGTGCCGACCGTTATCATCCCCCTAAAGCGCATGCCTCTGAACCCGAACGGCAAGATCGACAAGCCCGCACTTCCATTCCCAGACACCGCAGAGCTGAGCGCCGCTGCACCCCGCCGCGCCTCGTCCGCGTTGCAGGCCCTCTCTGAAACCGAGCAGACTCTGGCTCAAGTCTGGGCCAAGCTCATTCCCAATGTGACGTCTCGCATGATTGGACCGGATGACTCCTTCTTTGATCTCGGTGGCCATAGTATCCTCGCACAACAAATGTTCTTCGAGCTTCGTCGTCAGTGGCGTGTTATTGACATCAGTATGAATGCTATCTTCCGCAGCCCGACCCTTAAGGGCTTCGCTGGCGAGATCGACCGCCTGCTAGCAATGGAATCATTCGCAACTAGCGATGATAAGACTCTAGCTGTGCAGGCTGCCAATGGGCCGGACGACGAGTACTCGAAGGATGCCGTCCAGCTTGTGAATGAACTGCCTAAGACATTCCCTCAGCGTACAGAGGCTATGCTCACTAGTGAACCCACAGTGTTCCTTACTGGAGCCACTGGTTTCCTTGGCGCGCATATCCTCCGAGATCTACTTACCCGTAAGTCTCCCTCCACTAAGGTGGTGGCTCTGGTTCGGGCAAAGACCGAGGAGCAGGCACTTGAGCGACTTCGCTCCACTTGCCGCGCATATGGTTTCTGGGATGAAGCATGGACCGTCAAGCTGCAAGCCGTCTGTGGTGATCTTGGAAAGCCGCAGTTTGGTCTTTCCCAGTCAGTGTGGGACGACCTTACCAACCGCGTCGATGCTGTGATTCACAACGGAGCCCTTGTCCACTGGGTCTACCCCTATGCGACACTCAGACCGGCTAATGTTATGGGTACCATCGATGCCCTCAAGCTGTGCGCCAGCGGAAAGGCCAAGCAGTTTGCCTTCGTCAGTTCAACGAGTGCTTTGGATAAGGATCACTTCGTCCAAGAATCCGAACGTATCATCGCCGCCGGTGGAAATGGTATCAGCGAAGACGATGATATGGAGGGCAGCAGAGTTGGCCTTGGAACCGGTTACGGACAAAGCAAATGGGCCGGAGAATACCTTGTCAAAGAGGCCGGCCGCAGAGGCCTGAGGGGAACCATTATTCGCTCCGGATATGTCCTTGGTGATTCAGTAACCGGAACTACCAACACTGATGATTTCCTCATCCGTATGCTCAAGGGCTGTATTCAAATTGGCCTTCGCCCAAATATCTTCAACACCGTGAACATGGTGCCTGTTGATCATGTGGCTCGTATTGTCATTGCCACTGCCTTCCACCCACCTGCCACAGGCGTCAACGTCGCCCATGTTACTGGACACCCTCGTTTGCGCTTTAGCCAGTTCCTTGGTGCGCTAGAGCTCTATGGATACAATGTCCCTCAAGTTGACTACCTGCCTTGGTCTACTTCCCTTGAGCAGTATGTCAACGGTGGCGAGCACAATGACAAGGAGTCTCAGCATGCTCTGTAAGTCTCACACTTTTCTCAGTCCATTAATGGATACATACTAACCTTCTTTAGTATGCCCCTTTACCACTTCGTTACCTCAGACCTTCCCTCTAACACTAAGGCCCCCGAATTGGATGATGTGAACGCAGCGACCGCTCTGCGTGCCGATGCCACCTGGTCGGGCGTTGACGCATCAGCCGGTGCTGGCGTGACTGAGGAATTAGTCGGCTTATATGCCTCATACCTTGTTCAAACCGGTTTCCTGCCCGCGCCGACGGTTGCAGGAGCCCGCCCTCTGCCTGCTGCTAAGATCAGCGAGGAACAGAAGAAGACTCTGTTGAGTGTCGGTGGCCGCGGCGGTACATCTTGAAATTTATACGAAAACCCCCATGTACTCATTCTGATTTTAAAAAGCATTTGCATTTCCGAGTCTTCCAGCAAAATACGTATTAAATTGAGCCATTAAAGACGTGGCTTGTAGTGTATACAACCATGATAGTTCGGAGTCGTTCGACTCTAACAAAAAAGCCCGATTCACCGATTCGCCCGTCCCGTAGTACTCGGACTCACCGTTTTGGCTCCCCACCCTTTATTTACTCCTGTCACGTCACTTCAGAGTTTATATAGTCTTCAACATATCCTCTTTCTTGCTCTCTTCTGTATCTCTCTCCGCTATTAGTATTCCATCATGACTGAAGGTAAGTGTGCGTGTCCATGCACGTTCTTGGCAATTCAACTTCCCCATCAATTTTTCCCGCTTTCTTTCCTATCGGCCATTCAACCTGAAGCTGTCGGAGCCCTGTGAGAAACATCACGTACCGGTTGTTGGGATTAATTGTCTCCCAAATCATTTGTGATCCTCCGGTCTCCTCAGTCGGCTTCCCAAGGTTTCATTTCCCATCCCTGTCATAACCCACCTTCCTCCCTTTCCCCTCCATGAGTGCTGCGAGACTCACCGGGCGAACTGCCTGACTCACCGGGTGAACCCGTCTCATTGCGCGTGCAGCGGGGGACTCGACGATCCCCGGTACTCAGCAGGTTCCCTGTTCACGACTCAATCTCGAGTGGCGCGCAGCATGACCGCTCTGTCAGCACCTCACGCCAAGCCCTCCTCAACCTCCACGCCCTTATCCTGCGCCAGTGAGCAAAACGCTAGCGCAGAATTACCCTCAAGCTTGGACACACGTCCCAAACCCAAACCCAGACTGACACCGCTGGTGCGGATCTCACAGATCGATATGCAGCAGGTCTGCGCCGGAACAAGGAATGGGCTGCACAGACAGCCCGCAACCAGCCCGAGCTTTTCCCTACCCTCGCCTCCGGCCAAACACCGCAGATCCTGTGGATTGGGTGCTCCGACTCTCGCTGCCCGGAGACCACCTTCCTGGGTCTCGAGCCCGGCGATGTCTTCGTGCACCGCAACATTGCCAACGTCCTCCACCCGGGCGACCTCAGCTCCTCCGCCGTTATCGAATACGCCGTGCAATACCTGCGGGTCAACCACGTCGTGGTGTGTGGCCACACATCCTGCGGTGGCGTGGCGGCCGCCCTGGGCAACAAGAACCTGGGTATTTTGGACCCGTGGCTGTTCCCCCTTCGCCAGCTGCGTGAGCGCAACCTTAAACTTTTGCAGTCAATGCCTAGTGAAGAGGCGGCGGGGAAGCTGGCTGAGTTGAACGTTCGCGAGGGCTTAAACATTGTCAAGCAGAAGAGTGTTGTGTTGAATGCGATTCGGGAGCGGGGACTCCAGCTCCATGGCTTGATTTATGATGTTGGATCGGGTGTGCTCAGTGAACTGGACACTGAGGACTCGGAGGAAGTTATCAGGGCTCGTCTGACGGCTTTCCAGACAGAGTGACTTAGCGGGATTTCTTCGGGATTTTTGGGTTTTTTCGGCCGAAAGCCAACTCATCGCGAATGTAGCGTCAAGTAATACATAGAGCATCTCTAGATAGAACATTTCTAGATAGAGTAGAAGTGCGTTTCATGAATCTATGATAATATATAAGCGTTATACAAAAGATTCCCTTTTTTTGGCACCTTGGGAGAACTTGGGACTCTCAAATATCGTATGGCATGATGTGTGGATCAGGGGATATCCGCAACGACCAACGGGGTCAACGAGGAGTGAGACCAATCAATGTTCAGGTGTGGAAGCAGGTTTATGTTGTGCTTTCCAATCAGAGGCCTTTTGAGACATTAGGGCTCTGTACGAAGTATGTTGTTTCCTATAATCTTTCTAGAATCCTGCCAACTTATCGGATATAGGTGATGATAGCAAATTGTAAGGATTAGGTATCTTTTGTATAGCAACTCTATATAAAAGGTACATAACCACAACATAACCATTATTGTACTTCACATCTACCTACATGTACATAGCCTTGCTCGTCATAACCTTGGAACACTTTGCTTACCTTTCTAGTTCTCTTTTACAGCAATGTTCCAACGGTGATCCAAGATGGCGTTGATACGTCTATAAACCCATTCAACTGTCGCCTAAGCCTTTCACTCAAAGAATAGTACCAGTGATATTTGCTTAGTATAAACACCACAGAAGGTGTAATAGTAACATAAGACGTGGCTTATACACACGTAGGCAAATATCTAAGGGTAATCCTTCCAACCTCGGTTCCTTCCCTAAGGACTTAAGTTTCCCTTTACTCTCTTCTCACTGAAATTTCTTTTCCCCTTTGCAATTCTCTCTTGACCATCATGGCGATCGACATCTCAGAGGGAGCTGGTAAGTATATAGTCTAGTCCTTCTGGCATTTGATTATCAGTCACCTAACGCTAATGATCAAAGCTACCGGTGATAGTACCACAGTACCTGAGGCCAGGGATATCCAGTATGAGCCTGCAGGCACCCTCTGTGATCTCTGAACCCTCTACCAGACAGACCCGGATATCTATGGCGTAAACTCATGGACCAAAGAAGTACCCGTTGACTTGCCCGATACCGTCGAGGACGAAGAGTCAGCACAATACGCACTTCTCGTGAGAAAAAAGAAGTGCTACGATGGACGCAGAAGCTTGTCTATTCATTCCATTGTGGTGCAGAGCGACCGTCTCAAGGAGTTCTTAAAAAGGGCACTGAAAGATTATCCTGGTGTCACAATGACCTTGAAGCACCTCGAGGTCACATCGCCTTTCCGGCCTTTTGTCCATCGATGGGAAGCGATCACCAAGTTGCGAGATGAAGAGCGAAGAGCAAGATCCAACAACCAAGGCCCATGTGGATATGTTCTACCGCATCATGAACGAGGAGCTCAGGGATGCTATTGACCGCAAGAATGACCTAGTTGCCAAAGGGGTCATCACGCACGACTTGGCTTAGACGACCCTGGAGCCTCAAGGTGTGGTCCTTTCCTCGAGTGATGGAGCACTACGTGCGTATTCGGTCACGCAGGCATCATCGGAAGATGAACCATCGGTAACCGATTATTTCGAAGTCGAATACGTTGACTTTGACGGAAGCAAGTTCGGATACAAATACACAGCATGCACATTACCCAATTTCCCGGGAACCGTACCAGTCACCTCATTGCCTTTCTTTCCACTCAGATATCACCCAGAAAGGATACTGTCCGAGAGTCGTTGGTTGCACGGGGCAAGAAGTGGGAAGCGTACAAGGGGTACCATTTCAAATCTTACGAAGCTTCGACCAGCACGGACTCCAAAAGTTGGGATGACAATTCCAAGAGTCGCGTCATCATTGACAGCGAGGCATACAAGCTTTATGCGCAGATGAGGCCAGTCGACGTTGATAGGGAGATTGATGGAGAATTGGATGATGCACAGCGCCTTGTCGCAAGCCCAATGCTCTATGGGTATTCTCTGAATGACAAGCAATGGTGTTCATTCCACGTGGATCATCTGAGAGACATTGAGTGGAATGAGCAGGCCTTTGTGTCACTAGTCCTACCGCGGGGGCAGCAAGGGCTCAAGGAGGTGATTTTGGCCGTCGCAAAGGCTCAATCCAAGAAACTGGATGCATTTGACGATGTCGTTCGTGGAAAAGGCCAGGGTTTCATTGTGCAGCTCAGCGGTCCTCCGGGGGGTGAAATGACCCTTGCTGCGGAAAGCGTTGCCGAGGTCATGAGGGTTCCTCTTTATGTCATGAGTGCAGGCGACCTTGGAGTTGACGCTAGAGGCTTCGAAAACAAATTGAAAAGCATTCTGCAGATGATTCCTAAGTGGGGTGCTGTTCTTTTGCTTGATGAGGCTGATGTCTTCATGGAAGCCCGTGATTCAAACAATCTCGATCGCAATGAGCTTGTCTCAATGTCCTTGAGAATGCTTGAATACTACAAAGTAAGCCCGACGTTTGGATCATCGGAGCCAGAAGACACGTGGAAAAGATATCCAAAGGTTACATGCTGCTGATCTTCTATCTTTCTCGTTCAGGGTATTCTCCTCTTGACCACCAACCGTACACAGAATATCGATCCTGCCTTCGAGTCTCGGATCCACCTTTCCCTCATCTACAGGGAGCTCGATGCGGAATCCAGACGCCAGGTTTGGACACAGTTCCTACGCCGCTCGTTGAACCTTCACGGATGAGCAACTTGAGCAGGTAGCCGAGATGCATTTGATATGTTTGAGCTCTCAGCCGGAATTTTCACTGATATGCTTCAAACCGAGAATACTTGAACGTCTTCAACTCCCAATGATGAGATTGCAAGACATGGATACTTTTCTGTCGAAGTGCTGATGTCCTGGATTAATGGATCAGTCGCGAGATTGATGCTCTGTCTCTAGGGGATCTGGCTCGTATATGTAACGCTCGAAGACGTGACAACACAGTAGTAAGCGATAACACCATGATTGCCTATCACAGTAGAGGAGAGGCGTCGCACGGAGAGAACAAGACCAAAATCTTGATAAGATAACAACGAAACAGATGAGGTACCCGGTGGAAGGAAGGGTGAAGCTCGATAACAGCACGACGGATGAGTTATGTGAAGAAGAAAGACGAGAATGTTCGTATGGGATGCGAGAAGGAAGAAGAAAAGAAAACTCCAGGGGCCTGATCAAGACCCGACGTCGGGACATCGGGAGAGGAAGTGACTTAGTCAAGGAAAGCTAGGTGGTACCTTCCAAATTCGGAACGGAAGATTCACTTTGGATTCACTTGATCAATTGGGCCTTCACCCTTCAGACAATGATCACATGTTGCCTCTCTAAGACGTCCCACGATCTGGACTAGTAAAGCCTCCACATGCCATGACGATTGACCTAGGATTCTATTGAAATGTTCAGGTATCCATCCGGTAGTTGGTCTCAGGGATGGCTCCCGACGGAGTTCTACCGCGAGGAGAATTCCCCTCGACTGCGACTCCCACTTTGGATCTACCGCATGTTCGGCCCACGGCGGGAGGCAGTTCCTGAGTGCCAAAGGAAGGTTCAGGGATCTTCTCTCTTCTGCGCGGGGCCCCGGCCCCTTAGACTTCACGTTCTCTATAAATGTTCGTGGCGCTGCTATAATAGTAGCGAAAATGGTGAACTTATCTGTCCATTAGGGGAGGCTGGTAAGGCGGTGGGATGTAAAGAGGAGGAGAAAAATAGAGCGGAAAGACGAAGGAGAAGGGAAGAAATGCAATTAGGAAATGACTCCACGGGGAAGCAAGTCTGCTCAACAACACTATCCCTGGAAAAAAACATTCTAAGTAACGACTTTTTCGTCTCATTTCTTTGCTGTGCGTTATGCTTTCCATATTTCATTCCTTTACTACCGACATGACTAGAATCCTGCTAGCATCCACGGCTTAAGAGATTATGTGACGATCCTCGCACGAACTGCTCACGTAATGTTAAAGATAATCACCTAACCTAGTTCCTTATTATAAGGATATTTTATCCGTTATAATTGTCCTCCCCTTCCTATTTCTCCCTACGGATGTCCTCACACAAGTGCCAAGGTGTGTGTTGGATATGTTGCACTCGGGTGCCCTCCGCTTGCCGCCAACGGGTCCGAGTGTAAGGCAACACCCAAAACATATCGGCCAAGACTTTCACTTCTCCAGTCATCGTCAATACAACAGTTCTCTTGGAAGCTAACAATGTCATCTCCGATGTCATAGTCCCAACAAATACTTCCGGCAGTCCCCGGGGGCCCCTTCCCCCTGAACCACGTCTATAGGGCTACGGGGCTCTTCGTATTCGGATACACAGACACCGACCCACTCCGTTCCATACGAGATGGAATACTTTGAACTTGCAGTTTCAAGACAATATGACCTCTTAAGGCTGAATGGCATTTTCCCGGAACGCCGATCATTATCGGGGGAAAAAAGAACACAGCATCGTCAATCACACTACACATTAAAACATCCATCACCTCCAGGGCTGAGCAAAGGCCCCTGAGCTCAGGTCCACCTTGTGTTGGCTAGTGAACCCGCACGATCCGACTGTTTTACAATTATAATCCAATCCAGTCGATGTGGCGCTCAACTCCGATAGTATGTTGTATGTATGCTGTTGTGGAGCACGCGAGCTCTCAATTTCTTTAACTCCCTATTTTTCTCATCTTTTACCTCTTTTTCCTGTCCCTTATTGTACAGTGAGTATAAACGGATTGGAAAAACAATCCGTGTCGAAATATTTCCTCATGTTGGCCGCGTTTTGTGTTGGGCCATTATGATTGTCACTCGTTTTCATCATCCCCAGCGCTTGATCTTGTCTATTCTGGTGCTTTCCGGTCTCTGCTCCAAGTTGCTTCATATATACCAACATCGATCTCTTCCTCTATACCTTTTGGCCCTCTATTTTCCAACTTTCTTCATTCAGGAGGTCCTCCTATTCGTTGCAGTATGGATTCTCTTATATACAACCTCCGGTCGGTGGTCAGTGGCTGCCGTTATCGGTTCAGCTATTGTGGCGTTGGTTCATCTTTTCCTAAATCGGACGGGCAACTATATTGACTTTTACCCTCAGATGCATTGATTTATTAGCAACGTCCTCGCAAGTTAGTTTCTATTCTCAGACCGGCAGCGAAATTCGATGGGACGCAGCCAGGTCTGTGGGGGCCAGTCGGCAGGGAATGAAGTTGATATTGAGCGGACTGATGCCTATGGCTGCCACTACAACGGTAATCTCCGTGGCTTCCTGGCTTGTGGCTCAAGGGGTCTGGAATCTCATGACCCGCTGGCTATGCTCCCTCGCCAGTCTCGGAGACGCCAAGACGTACGCCATGCTACCGGGCCCCTCCGATCTGAGAAGTCTAGTGTCGAATAGATCTCGGTTGTGGACCCTTGTGGGCACTGGAATAACCATCGGACTCTGGCTGATCCGGCCGTCAATCCCATACAATCATATGACAGGAGCTCTACCCTTCACCGTGCTCGGCGAGCACTCTCGGGCTCGTCGGATGACTATCAAAACATTTCCGCTACCTGAATTGCTGGCTGCAGAATATTGGGAGCCTGCAAATGGGCACTATAAGGGGTGGGCACCGACTTTGGATGACTCGGGTAACACTGCCTATGGAAATAATAAGCCAGCCTGGGCGCGAGGCCCTCTTCCTGCTGCATTTGAGAGGTGGATTGTGAATCCCGATTCAAACACGACCGAAATTAGCCTAGAGGCATCTAATTCGACCGTTCAAAGCGTTTTCAAGAGAGATGAGAACGAATCCGATTCTGAAATCCAGAACAAGACAGCTGAACCGCGACACTACTTCTATAATCCCGTTCGGGATCCCATGAGGATAAGCAACCTTGACCTGGAACCACTTGGTCCTCTGCGAGAGGCCCTGAATGACCATCCCATCCCGATGACCCACATAGTCTTTGTGTTCTTGGAAAGCGGCAGAAAGGATCTGTTCCCCTTCAAGAATGATTCTCACTTGTACGACCAAATTCGCGAATCGTATGAATTATACGGAGGAGAGGACGAAGCCGATCTACACGACAAGCTGTCTCAGATAACCCCCGTGGCAGAGATGCTTACAGGGGAGCAATCCGGCTTTGGCTCCTCGGTTAACTCAATGAAACCCGGACTAGGCGGTCTCAGCTTCGACGGGATATTATCGGGGAGCACTCTCTCCGCTAAATCGCGTCTTGTCAACTACTGCGGTCTAGGACCGCTCCCGGTGGACTTTATGCATGAAAATGATATCATGCCATACCAGCCGTGTTTGATGCACATCATGGATCTATTCAACCAGCGCAAGAATTCTTCTAGCTCTGGAAGTTCCACCAACAGTCACCTGGAACGGGAGTGGGAAACCATCTATGCGCAGTCTGTCACTGGGGAGTTCCAGGCACAGACTCGGCTTATGGATCTGCTTGGTTTCAAGCAGACATTGTACTCGGAAGACATTGATGTGGAGGATGCAAAATATTTCCATGAGGACATGGAAAAGATCAACTATTTTGGGTACGTTGTCGAGCAAAATTTCCCGCAGCTGTTCTTCGTGTGCAGATACTAACTTGGCACAGTTATGCCGAAACTGAGGCGCGCCCCTACATCAAAGATATGATTGACGAGACGCTTCGTCAGAACAAGAGACTCCTCCTTTCACATTTCACCAGCACCACTCACCACCCTTGGGGTACACCTGAAGGCTGGAACCGAGACAAATATTTCGGTAATCTCCACGAATCACAACACGAACTTATGGATGAATTCCTCAACGCAAACCGCTTCGTCGACGCATGGCTCGGGGACTTGATGGGAATGCTAGACGAGGCAGGTATTGCCAATGAGACCTTGACAGTCTTCGTGGGAGACCAGTACGTATAAATTCCCACAAATGGCCAACCAGTTCGACATCTAACCGACGAGACAGCGGACAAGCATTTGGAGAAGATTGCCCCGTCACAGGAACCTACCACAACCCACACATCAGCAACTTCCGCGTGCCCCTAGTATTCCACCACCCCTTATTACCCCGCATGCACCTTAATGTCAACGGCAGCGCCGTATCCATCCTGCCCACGATCCTCGATCTTCTCGTGAACACCAACTCCCTCAACGCAGACGACACAGAAATTGCCTTGGATCTGATGAATGAGTACGAGGGCCAGTCCCTCATCCGGCCGTATCGCACCACGCACAATGGCCGCGAAGCCTGGAACATGGGCGTTATTAATGCCGGTGGCTCGATGCTGAGTGTTGGCTCCGCTGCTGTGCCCTGGCGCCTCAACCTACCATTGAACAATGACTTCGAGTACCGGTTCACGGACTTGAATAAGGACCCGTACGAGCTTGAGCCTGTCACGGGCTGGACTATGGGGTCCCTTGCTGCGGAGGTTCATTCCAAGCATGGGCCTGAGGCTTTTTATTGGGCTCAGAAGGCTGAGAAGGTTGGCCTTTGGTGGGTTGCGGAGCGGAAGAAGCTTTGGAATTATCGTGATCCTGATGAGTGAGGTGTTGTTGACGATAGTGCACAGCTCGTCTTTTGCTTTCTCTTTTTGGTCCTTGGAGCGACCTGCATAGCATCATGCATTTTGGGGTATGCGTTTTGTTTTGTTTTTTTGGCTTTTTTTTGGAGAGGCTCATTGCTGGCTACCCAATGTTTATGAGTGTAGTGTAGGATAGTTTGGTTCCCTTCTGGCTCTGTATAATATTCGGGTTCGGTATACCTGCTGTGTATAAAAGCATACGATTTATCCAGTTTTTCTATTCGTATCTATTTTAGGGCAGCTGTGATGGCATCGGATAGTCGAACAGTCTGGCAGTATCTAAGGCGGTAAGCCCTGCAGACCTTCCCATTATGAGTGCCAAGTATGTGGGCAACCAGACCAGAGATTCGGAGAATTTTATGCTTATTTAGCTGAAATGGTAAGGCTAGACAATGAAAGTCCAAGACTAACAATTTTATACTTCCTTTCCAAGGTTGTTGCCGTATAGACGGTGACATTATCAACAGGCGAGAAGTGCTGACGAGGCCTTACAGGGTTTTGCGGCCCACTTGAGGATCTTCCATTAAGCCCGACGGGGAATAAAGCACCACATTTCTCCGTTTCACCCCTCGCTGCGTCAGAGGATCCAATTATAACGCCCTTTACTTGGTTGGCCGTTCCGCCCCTGCAATTCGCGCTCTGGCCTTGGCGTCTCCTTCGATCCGCGCATACATTGCCTTATCTAGACCCCAGCGATGGTCCCCTTTCATTTTCACTTCTTCATGACTTTTCTATACCACGCTCTTTGAAGAATGCTGTTTCTCAGCGTTTCATCGCTGTTATGGCTGTGCCAAACCGGACTGGCGCAATATTCCAGCGATGATCTCATGTCATTCGTTACAGTCCGTGCCCCATATCCCAAAATTGTTTGATCCCGCTAACATCGTGTTCTCCAGCTCCCCGATGTTCGGGCAGTGAAATTCAATGTCCACTACGAGAACCGCGAGCTCGTTAGCCCCGGTTACTGGTTCGTCGCTCCCTACCTACACATTGGCCCCGATCCACCGTCGACCTTGTACGAGCAATATCAGATCGGCCCCCATATCTACGATAGTGAAGGTGTGCGTTTACACCAGTCCCCCGCGATACAAATCCCGACGACTGACCCTACTTCGGTTTAATAGCGGCTCATCTGGACTGGCTCCCAACTGTTCGACAACAGGAACGCCTTCGATTTCAAAGTCGTCAACAGCCTAGGCCCTGACCCACACCTTTCGATGGTCTTGCAAAACTCGTGGGATAGCAATGTAGACACCGGGTACGGGGTGATCTTGACCAACGATTATCGAGTCCAACGAAAGCTTCCTTTGCGGCGGGACCTCGGCCTTTTTGACATCCACGAGTTCAACATCCTGGACGACGGTAAGACTGCGCTGGTCACCATCTACCTTTCTCATGAGATTTCCCTAGAGGAATATGGTCTCCCGAGAGAGACTACTTGGCTTGAGTCCGGCGGGTATGCTGAGATCGATTTGAACACTGCCGAGATTGTCCAGTGGTGGGACTCTTTTAAGCACATTCCTTTGCCCGAGACCGTCCATTACGACCCGTATTCTCCGGTGGAGGGATTCCCTGGCTGGGATTATGTGCATATCAACTCAGTTGACAAGAATGAAATTGGGGACTTCTTAATTTCATGCCGGTTTACGAACACCATCTACCTCATCTCCTGCATAGATGGAAATATCATGTGGCGATTGGGTGGAAAATATAGTGATTTCGTGCAAGATTTCACCTTTTCAAAACAGCACGATGCGAAATTCGTGGAGTCCAATGGGACGCACCATATTATCTCGTTTTTGAACAACGCCTCGGACGAGGAAGTCAACGAGGAAAATATGTCGTCATCCCTATTTGTCGAGTTGGATACCAGCGTGAGGCCTATGACCGCCAAAGCCATCCGCCGCTACAACCGCCCCGATCACCAACTTTCCAGACTCCGCGGCAATACCCAGCTGCTTCCGAATGACAATGTGTTCACCTGCTGGAGCAAAGAGGGCTATATTTCCGAACATGCCAGCGATGGGGAACTATTGATGACTGCCAACTTCACCTCCCCACGCTATTCATCCTACCGCGGGTACAAATTCGAATTTACTGGTCGCCCCACAGCACCACCAGACATGGTGGCGTCGGTCTACGGCACCGATGAAACCAACATGGTGACCACATTCTGGGTCAGCTGGAACGGCGCGACAGATGTCGCATGGTGGAATTTCTACGCGCAAGCCTCCGAATTCCACGAGCCTGTCTTTATCGGCAAGACGCCTCGATCCGATTTCGAAACCATGTACATTGCCCGCGGATATCTGGACTGGGTATCTGCCGAGGCAGTAAATGTCAATGGCACCGTCCTAGGCAGGTCCAAAATGCACCGAAGCAAGTCCCCCGACTGGAAATCCGTCGGATACAGAGGGAAATCACCCATTCCGGTTGATCCGTCGACCATCTATCAAGAAAACAATAGCGCAGCAGAAAACGATACGATTAACGAGTCTGGCCACTCCTCGGATGCAATAGATACCCAAACACAGAAGACTACCCAAGTACTCAAGCATACATACAATGCTATCCGCAGCATTAGCGGTATCTTCTCTTTTGTTTTGCTTCTTTGTGTGTTCTTCGGCGTTATGGCATGCTATATGGTTGTCCGTGGCTGGCGGGTCCGCGTCTACCAGCGTCTCCGTTCGGAAGATGGGTATTCAGACGAACGGGCATATCTCGCCTCGCCGCATGAGGATTAAGTTTCTTTAGCTTTGGTCAATGCCATCGAACGTCGTTTGCATCATTTGCGGGAGTTTTTGTACATTATTTTTCGGGTCTGGTAGACTCCAGTCCAATGTGTATATAGGATAGTGTTGGCTACTGGCTTAATCGACTAAGCGACCATATCGGAGTGTTCTTGGATTTCGTGATATACCGCGATATGTTCGCACTGTACATCGACTGTGATACATGTATGTGGAAAGGCTTTTTGGGCACGATCGGTGGCAAACGAGCCGAAAGAAATTGCAACGCGTATGACAAGGTGCAGCCCATTAGGCTCGTCTCCTCGCTTCACTTAGATGTGGCGTTGAGAACATGAGGTTGACTTGGAATAGAAGCGTTAACGCAGAGAGAATCAGTATAAGGTCAGCTTCTCAACGGGAGCCATGTACCTATACTCCCGATCCTTGCTACAAGTGGAAGTTGCTCGGCTCATCTCTCAGTAATAACCCAATCATACCAAACCGCCGACCTCCACCTGGCCAAGCATGAGTGCTGACCTAATTCGTCAGGTCTTCCAAGATTCCTACCTACGTACTTGATTTCCTCTGCCACTTCTTGGCTTTCCATTTCTGTTTTAGTGCTCAGGCCTTGCCGCCTTTTGCTCACTGAGTACAACTGAGCGTGGACGCCCCTGAGTATTACATAATCACCAGGCACGCTCACTGCGCATCACCTGATCGTTACATAAGCTGGATGACTGGGTTCTAGCTTGGGGATACTCAAAAAAAAGGTGTGATGTACCCGCCAAGCCTGCTTATATTATCAATGATTTTTGCCCAGGTACATTTCAGCCCTCAGATCTGATAGTAATGTAGTTACCCAAAATCACTACTATTATATAATCCGTGGTTTAGTCCAATCACATCACGTATACTTATACCTTAGCGCGTATTGTTGTATATTAAACCTACCTATAGAGTATAGAGTCTGCATATCCTAGTGCAGAGATTAAAGGGGGGGGGACCCTTCTACTCTGCTAGTATAATTAATTCATAGCACTACCAAAAGTCGTATTTTTGAGAGTCTAAAAACTGTATATTAATCGTCGAGGTCTAATTCGTACAAATCAATCAATTCCGACCGATTTATCTAGCTATTTAGGTGAGAAAATAGGATGATAAACTAGCAGATAAAAAGGCGGGTTTTCAAAGGGTCCGCCTTAACCCTGTTGGGAAGATCTGCATGCTCCTTACAACATACAACAATACCCTAGTATGCAGGGCCACCCACACCAACAGTAAGTATCGTCAATGACATTTACTTTGAAGTCAAATACTTTGATGTATATCGATACATCAATTTTCAGGGAATATCACGAAAATGCATGAAGACAGATGCACCGAGGCGTCACGTACCCTTATCGACGAAGAGCCAAAGGAAGTTGTGAGCAAACGACAACTATCCAAATCTCGCATGATCATACTCGTTGCAGGTCTGTCATGAATGAAAATCGAGCACAAACATTTGCTAACAAATTTTCTCAGGTATTCTCATCTCAAACCTGGTAGGTCATGTTTGGTTCAGTCAATCTGCCCAAGCCTCATATGAATCTAGTCCACAGCTATAGACTCTAGTCTATCAGCATCATCGCATGTGGCAGTCGCATCGGCATTCAGTAGAACAAATCTCTCGTCATGGCCCGTGAACGCCTTCCTTCTGATGTCAACGACGTTTCAACCATTATATGCTCGTGTATCCGACCATCTTGGCCGCAAGATACCATATCTCACTGCGTCGTCACTTTTTATTAGTGGACTAGTTGTATGTGCCAATACAGATCTATGGGCTGGTCTTATATTAGGGCGTGCAGTGTCTGGCCTAGGTACAGCAGGGGTTATGACCATGGGTACTCAGATTCCCAATACTATAGTAATGGCAAGGAGACGGGGCTGATTTTCTGTCTTAGGGTCGGTGTTATTGACGGATGTAGTCGGGGTAGAGAAACGGGGGTACTATCAGTCGATGAACTATGCTGTCTACGGGATAGGTTCAGGGTAAGCCATATCTCACCTTAATTCTCGCTACATGATCTCATTTTGACGGTACATAATTTTTTTCAGACTTGGATCAGCACTTGGAGGTTTATTAGTGGAGAGATTCGGCTGGAGTATGGTATACAAGGTTCGTCTGACCTGACGCAGAGAAATGATGATTCCTGCTAACACCTTTTACTTGTCGGTGAAAGGCCCAAATCCCGTTCGCAGCTACAGCCCTCATCCTCTTGGTGGTCTCTATTCCATCTCGCGCTCGCTTCATGACCATTAATGATTTCAACTGCAGTCAAAGTCTGGTATCCCTGAATAACTACGATTGGTGGGGATCTGTGCTCCTAGTAAGTAATGTACCAAACCCCTTTCTCTCATGGTGCCACCGTCTAACAGCTGTTCATACTGAAGTTGACCACTTTGATACTGCTCTTTGCTTTTCTGACTACAGGTGGAAACATCCTTCCCTGGAGTCATCCTATGGTGATTACTTTCGGAATATCTCTGATGGCCTCAACGGGGCTTTTCATAATGGTCGAGAAGAAAGCAAAAACACCCATTTTACCTCTCCAGCTCTTCACCTCGAGCCCGACAAGAAGCCTGATGGTGACTGGCTTCATGTTCTCACTGACCAACTATATGGTACGTGGCTCCTGTATTGCTCTTTGAAGTATACTAACGTAGCACCAAGATAATGTATCATACCACTTTGTTCTTCCAATCCGTTCTGCTCGAGTCGTCCCAGCAAGCCAGTCTTCACCTCATCATCCCATCGGTCTCATTTACTATAATTAGCATTATTACAGCGTCGGTTATCGCTAGATTGAAGACTCCTCTTTACACTCTACGCGGAAGCCAAGTGCTGCTCGGCATCGGCGTCCTGGGTCTTTTCCTCGCAATTGCCCAAACCTCAGATTACACTCGTATGCCGGGTTACATATATAATTTGGCTCTAATTTTCCCGACCCTAGGCGTGGGAATGATGGCCCCCAGCACGGTTCTGACACTTCTAAATTCCTCTACCAAGGAGGACCATGCTGTCGCTAACGGGTGCTTCATTATGATGAGATCACTGGGCGTGTTTGTTGCTGTTGCATTGGGGACGACAACATTGCAGAATGCTTTCGAGTTCTCTTTAGCACACCAGAAGGTTGATGATAAATCTCGAGAGGTATGTACCACATGCATTATGCCTGGTAATATTTCTTTTTTACAAAAAGATTCCTATTTTGTTTATGAAATTGGGAAGTGATATAAGCTAAATTTATACAATTTTAGGCAATAGAGCAGGCGCGGCAGAAGGTTGAGTTGATACCTACTTTGCCAGACTCGATTCAATCAAAAGGTATGATGAAGTTGAGCTCTGCTGTTTATTTTTCGTCCTTAAGATACCGGGACAAGAGCTAAGAAGTGATACTGACTTGCAATAGTTGTCAATGCGTATTCAATGGGATTTACCGTCCTGTTCGGACTATGTGTGCTGTCAACAGTATTAATCATGCTCAGCCTCAGAGGCATCAGTGTCCAGGAACTTGGAAATGGAACCTATAGCAAGCAGACTGGGCCAGACAATGAGGAAGAAAATACGGAGGTGGAAATGGAACCGGTCAGAAGATGATATAGCGTTTTCTTGAGACAATCTGAAAGCTGGTGCGATTATCGATTTTCCCATCAAATAAAATAGGATAGGAATATCTTGATAATGAAACGCAGCGCTTTCTTAAGTCTGACCCCGGGGGATGTTTTATCTACACAAAAACCTCAGATGTGATAATTCACAGTCCTCAACGTGCTTCACTATAATCCTCAGTGAGTCTGTTACATGTAAAGTTGATATAATATTATTTGAATCTCCAAACATTTTGGAGATAGCTTGAGAGTTCTATATTTCTGTAAGATTTGAATATTTAGTTACTGAAAGACCAGGCCTAGAGAGGAAGACATCTGCATAGCTGCTTGAGAGCAATGAATTGGATGAAGAAGCTAACATTCACATGTCCAGCCTTGTCCAAGAATCTGAACCACAATGTAACTGGTCTCTATTTACAACAACATTGACACTCTCCATCACTTTCACCTGCCATCGAATCTCAAACGGCCACCTCAAGTTATAGGTTCACCATCTAATTGATCTTCAGAAACATTTAGCAATGAACGCGGTATAGAGTGATTCGCCTCTTACCTATCACCAGATAATGGCACCTATTCCACAACGCCTGCGCAGGCCATGTCACCGGACTTGGTGCAACCCAGTTCGTTGACCTCCGGCTCCTCGCGCTTCTCGACAACGCCGGCACAGGCCATGTCACCGGACTTGGTGCAACCCAGTTCGTTGACCTCCGGCTCCTCGCGCTTCTCGACAACGCCGGCACAGGCCATGTCACCGGACTTGGTGCAACCTAGTTCGTTGACCTCCGGCTGCTCGCGCTTCTCGACAATGCCGGCGCAGGCCATGTCACCGGACTTGGTGCAAGCCAGTTCGTTGACCTGGGTGTCAATTGGAGCAGCCATGACGCTGCAAGCGGCGAAAAGGATAGATAGGACGGTTTGGGACTTCATCTTGTCGGTGATACAAGTTTATCTTGATATGAGGCACGAAAGAAATGGAGGATCGAAAGGATGAGAATGAGAGCGTTGATGTTGATTTAACGAAATTGAATTATGGGATCTTCAAGATTCTTATAGCTCTAGAGCATTGGCAAAGAGGGATAAATTGATGGGATTTATCCTGTTGGGCTTAGATCCTATCTGCGCATGTAGTGGTGGCCTTGCACAATTGGAGGGACAATCTAAATGCACCAGGAGGGGAATGTTCTAGACAGCATTGTCGAAGCAATATTTTCGCTATAGTCCTTATTCCATCCATTCTAATCTCTTTTCCGATTTGCTCGGGGTTTATGCAACCGACGCAGTGGGTGGCCTTGCATTGAAATATCACTGGGGTTGTATTTGCTTGTTTCTATCGGAGGCTACGCCAAAACCGTAGAAGG